ATCCACAATTCTGGCATGCTATATTATTTTACCATACCATCTATACTGATCCACAATTCTGGCATGCTATATTATTTTACCATACCATCTAATTGTTTTCATAAAATAAACAACACAAGCGCAAAAGAAAAATTACAACATTGACATCACATTATAAAGTGGGAAGATTATTATCCTTATCATACAGTTTCATTTAGTTTTAATAAATTATATGAGAACCATGACAGCCAATCAGATTCGCGTATTACAGGTAGACATATTCGTGCGTCGACCTGCTACCATATTCGTATTTTGACAGTGTGTCACATATTATGTACATTATATTTGTTGAAAGAGAATGGTGTTGATATAAACACAAACTCACAAACAGTGTGCATTTGAAGCTCGTTTCAGTGTTCTAATGCAAGCTGGGATGCAGTGCGGCGTATAGTTGCGCACAGAATGGCGCCGGATGTGTTTGTGAAAATCAATTCTTCGTCAGACTGAAGCTGCTGAAATTAGGTTTATCAATACAACCATGAAAGTAAAAAGGCGTCCATGATAAAACTTAATAGAATTCAATCACTGCTCTTGAACTCTTTCAACTTGTATATTTTGTGTTCATTCATGCATTCAGCTCTACGAGGGTGACCTGAAAGATTGTCATGATTGAGTGCTACAATTTCGGTTTTTAGATTTATTCGGTATAGTAATACAAATGTTCACCCCAATAGCGGTGGATATACAGTTTTAGAGACCCTCAGCGCCAATTGCCAACCTCGGCTTCGCCTCATTTTACTTTAAACCTGTTTTTACCATTGTATTTTTCCGTTTCCATAGTCTTTCTGTCATTGTTCAGAAAAAAACACTAATAAGTTTGGTTTGGCATGAGTAAAACAAATTATGTATAATTCAAATTTGGCCAGAAGTAGTAGGTGCTTCCGTGGGGCTTCATAGCTAGTTTTGTTTTCCTGATTACCGATGGTATCAGTAACCTCTAGATCGACGTTTTCAGAGGTCATTCTTTTCCACAAATTTCCAGAATTGTTGTGATGCAGGATTTTATATTGAAAGTTTTTTTTTAATTCGACCTCATTAGCAAAAAAAGCTTTGTGACGGAATACCGAAAAATGAAGAGAAAACGGCGATTCAAATTTACTATCTTTGAAATCTAAGTAATACATATTGCATGTATATGTTTTGTACTTTTAAAAAGGTCAACTGTTCTGTACGACGCAAGGACAGGTAGTCTATTGTGTTCCATTGTATGGGAATAGCATTGATTAGACCGTGATAAGTTACCAGAACATACCATATATACTGATCCACAATTATGACATACAATAATTCATTATTATATTCTTCATTATCATGTATGAAACAAGAACAAGAAAACTGAATAATGGCTAGTCTGCAAAACCAATGCATTGTTGCCAAAAGCTGTGATTAACAAATATAAGTTTGAAACAATCATAAATAATAATTATTCGCATTTTCGAGCCATAAGGATGTCACGAGATAAACGAGCATTGCGCCACCAAGAAGCGCTGTGTGTAACCGGATGTATCTAAATCACGGTACCATCAGATTGTTTCTAGTCAATGAAGTGAACTAACAAAAGGCTATTCTTGGAAGGCTTCCAGACTAAAAATAATGATACACCGATCTACTAGGCTCAGTCAGGAAAGTGATATAAGAGCCTCGGTAATTCAATTTCGTTGAGTAAAATGGTAGTTGGTCAGTGGTAATTGGTTTTGAATGTGACAGTGGAATTGATATATTGTCAATATCACTGAATGACAACGTTTGTGTTTTATATGGTGTTTTACACGGGGTTTTACTAAAAAAAATATTTCTTCATATTTTAAAATTTAGCTTGGTGATATGGTAATTATTCCGTATCTGTGTAAAGATATGAAATCACGTGAATGAGCCCGCTTTTCAAAGAATGCAAAGTTGACTGCCAATGGTGATATGGTACATTTTTCAGAATGAATGCGCCCAGACGACGTGGGCGAGTTCATTATCAATTATTTGTTGGCCTCCCCGTTTATCTTCTCTACGCAAAAATTCCAAATTCGTTTACACTGTATCTAGAAAACATTAATGTGTCGGCTGTGCGCTATACTACTTCTCCAATCAACGGCACAGGAGTTCGTTACTATGCGCGGGTCCAATTTGCGAGCAATAAGGTCCCGCATATTATAATAACATGATAACAGCCTCTGTGTCGTTTATCAGGGAATAACAAAGGTCTGTACTGGCAGGTTTGCGAGAACAATATTCTCTCCAAAGCTGATCACCTGCCTTTCTATGTTTGGGTTTTGTTGTGCACTGATTGTGCATGAAATTACTGCAGGTCATTATTGCTTGCGTCAATAACCATTCGAGCACTATTGTTTTTATGAACGGAAACATTGTTCCACAATTATGAACATCACGCAGGAGTATGGGTGGCGGGCGGATGGGAACAACAATTATACCATTATTTTACATTCGCTGTAACCACCATTGGTGCCTACGGCAGTGATCGTTTCGCTCCGCTCATGTGTTACCGGTAGTGAGCGTTATCTGCCTAAAATCGATAAATGATACCGGGGGAAGGGGCACTTGAATTGAATCTCGGTACGTGTACTGCAACCCAAACATGCGTAATATGGGTGGTTTTGAGGCAGTTGGTCACTTCTACGCCCGTGCGATGTTTAGGGTTATTAAAATCAAAAAACAAAACAAGCGTATATTTTCACACACAAAATAATTTATTTTGTAAATAACTCCGACAAGCCCGCCCGTGAATCTCTGTAGTGAATATGTCGCGGTTTTCTTTATTGGGCTTTAATATTGTGAAGCGTCATTCTTTTATCTGTGCTGGCAATTGATTGGCAAATGTTGTTACTGTATTAAACTGAACAAAAACATCCGCAAGTTATATCCACTATCTTGCCACTTCTCAAAGTTAAATGGTACGCTAACTTCGCAGTGGCACTGACATGTTCTAGCCCCCCCTTGAAACACCATACTTGGTTAAATTTGAGCCAGTCGTGAAATTAGACCATATAAACTAACGAAGTATTTATGCCCTCGTCTGTCTCTGTGTGTTAAAGGTGAATAATGTTAAGTTAAGTAACAAGAACACAAGGTTAAGTAACAATCGTCAAGAACCTACAAGAACATACTATTTTTTGTTTTAGAATAATAATTTCGGGATGATTTGAGCAGCCATTTTCAACACAGTCAATCAGTCATGCACGCCGTGCACGTGTTTCCCAGTCGACGCACAGATCATACTAAACGCTACGGGCAGTCCCTTACTATAAATACACTCAATAGTACCCCGGCGTAGACGTAATTGAATGAATTATAAATAGTATCTTGCATTTTAAAATGGTGCCATCACATTATCATGGTATCCATAGTCTTCTACTCACAAATATGGCGATGCTTGTAACACATTATGTTACTCATAAAGTGATTACTTACGGTGTCACTAATTGTATAATTCTTGAGTACATATACTATGTTGGTTTTTGGCCATAAGTTATGTAATTTCTTACATTATTTCGAGTCAAATAAAATATTCTATTCTATTCTATACAGAACGCATGGAATCATTAAACACCGTCCTGAGGTAGTTGGTGAGACTATCAGTGATTGACTAAATCTTCACACGGTCATGATGATGATGATGATGATGATGATGATGATGATGATGATGAATGTATAAAAAACACATAAAGCGTATGGACTTTTTATTTTGAATGCATATTTAAATGTGTTCCTTTATGGGGCTAACATGTTGCTATATTAACTGCGGGTCGTGATACCTTAGATTATCTCCTACCTAATGACCTAGCCCTGTCCCACTAATATTGCTTCCAATTATAGAACATGGTGGTGAGCACTGTGTTAACGAACACGCTCCAGGAATATTTATTGAATATGATTGGTATGAGTATGAAACTCAGGTAAGATCAGTGTAATGTCTAATAAATTCAGGTGCTACGTGAAACAGGGAATCAAACAATTAAAAATAAAATGTCGTATGTCTCGTCGTTAATTATAGTGCACAGTATAGGGGTCATTCCCCTCCAGGTGTGAAGATCAAAAGGTCACATTTGGTTCAATCTTGATGATGGGGATAGTTTACTACTTTAGTTTTCCTTACATATCTCAAGGATTTATTGTGATTGACAACAAACCAGAATGACAAAACATGGCGACAAGGAAATGACAATATTACGTGGAATTTTCATTGTGACAAGTTTTTGGAAAACTAAATAGAAATAACATTGCTCTGATACGGAGAATGAAAACATTTTTTACAATCTATGCTAGAAAACGTTTTTATAACAGCTTTGTTTTACCTCACTCAGATTAGTGTTGTCATTTGTGGGGAATTCACCTTTCTCAGTACACTTTATAACGTGCGTTGGAATTCGTGCATGATATAATGCGTCAACCGAGGAGTTTAAAAAAATATTCAATATGGTGTACAAATATTGTATATGGAGGGTATAATAAAATGTTATAAACTAAAGTTGGGCTACTATAAGATTCGACATTCGTGCGGATAATTATGAATATTGAGTACAACGTGAAATGAAATGGGTCGGCTCATTTATCGGCACGTCCAATCCATTTATGTCTGTAAATCTATTTTATATTTCTGCTAATACCAATCAGCATGTGTGTGATTCATTATAAATTATAATAATTATTGTCAACCCAAAGACAGAAGTTGGGAATGATTTAAAACCTGGTGAGATAGCCTCCAACGGGAGAGTGGCAACACCGCAATAAAGGCGTAGTCGACTTGTAAGCCATTATTCTTCAGTGTATAAAGTCTAAAGTAATGCATAATTGTTTTACGCATTCGGAGTTACCCCCTCCACAAGAATGGTGTGATTCACTCATTTGCATATTATTTTACATATAAGGGCATGTTCTACATCAGATATCTTCACTTTGCAACTTGTATTGACTGTCGTTTCACCCACATCGCCTATATCTCATCCAGCAACATGGCTTTTGCAGGGAAATGGGTCTTCGAGAAAAATGAGAAGATGAAGGAATTTGCTGTTGCTGCCGGAGCTCCACCAGAGAAAGTAGACCAAATGATTGATGTGCCGATAACAGTGGAGTGCACCAGAGATGGCGACTACTACCTGATGTCTTTCACAGGTCCCAAGAACAAAACTGTCGTACAGAAGTTCAAACCAGATGAACCATTTACTGAAGAAATAGGGCCTTTCGGCAAGACAAGAGTGGCTATTGCTAAAGTAGAAGGCGACAAGATGGCCATCAGGGGGGTCAAAGAAGGCGAAGCAGTGGAAAAGAGAGAGGTAATCGGCGACGAAATGATCTTTACATTCGTCAAACCTGGAATTCCATTTGTTGCTAAGCGTTACCTCAAAAGGGCTTGAACATTCTTTGCTTTGAAATTACCCCAAGTCATCAAGTAGTGATCGTCGACTT